TGATTTTTAATCAATTTATTTCTTTGTGAGGAAGATTGGCACTAAGCTAACATCTGCTGCCAATCTTCTTCTTTTTGCGAAGGAAGGTTGGCTCTGAGCTAACTTCTGTGCCCATCTTCCTCTATTTTGTATGTGGGACACCACCACAGCATGGCTTGATAAGTGGTGTGTTGGTCCGCTCCTGGGATTGGAACCTGTGAACCCGGAGCTGCCAAAGCAGAGCACGTGAACTTAACCACTATGCCACCAGGCTGGGCCCACTCTCTTCTTTCTTAATCCAGGTCTGATTTTACCTGTAGCTATCAGATGGAAACAAATAAAATGTCTATGTGACTATTTTTGATCCACAGAAATGATGATTTAACGTGGTCCCCATCTAATATTGGCTGAGCATCAGTGGTGACCCCAGCTACTGCTGGAAGAAGGAAAGAGACGGATGGGTCTTTTGACTCCCGTCGATTGCTGTTTTCATGAGAGCCAGTGGGATGCAGTGTCAGAGAGACCTGGGTCCAAACTCTGGCTCTGTCAAGTACTAACATGGCTTTCGCTGGCCTCTCTTTCTCTTTTTCAGGGTTGTTGGATGTGAGTTTAGGACACTTAACTACAGAATCTCCTAATTCATAAAAAGAACTCAGTCGATTCCCCTTTCTCTCTTTCCTTCATCTGACCAGAGTGGCACAATCTGTGCGGTTTCAGGTAATCTTGTTAAAGATTGATTATAACCTGTGAAAACCAGTTGCTATTTTGCATTCAAGTATGTGGAGAACTAGATGCATTTTTAAAACCCCAATAGGTTACTCAAAGATCTTAATTGAGAAAGGAAAATAAATGAACAGATTAACAAAACAGTTGACCCAATTATTAAAATTCTGTGGCTTTCAATGCCAATTTATTAAGTTACATCTATTAAATACGTTAACACATACAACATTTCATTCACAGAGACTGGAATTCACACAACAGTGCCCAAAGACATGGGAGGTCTCCCAGCTAAGTCTGAATCCAACAACATACAATATGCAGTTTACCTTGGGGTTGTGATGTTTTAACATAAAACATAAAATCAATGAAAGCACATGAGGCTTATCACCTCATCAAAACCACATAAACACCTAGATATGCTCAATCTGTACACCCCTGAAACAAAAGAGGGAAAGTTACATATTTTAATGACTTTAAGAATAAAATCACTTGATTAAGTTCACCTACTTTATTTACTTGAAATTGTGTGTCGTCTTCCTCCTGAATATATGCACTATGAGAGTGGGAGTCGCCCGTCGTGTTCCCTCTTTGGTTGGCTCTCCAGCATCTAGGTAAGGGCTGCCGTGTAACAGATGCTCGCAAAATAACTGATTCATGGATGAAATGGGAAGACTATAGGCTTGGTGTGAGGAGATATGAATTCTAATTTCAACACTGTTACTTTACTGTCTGGCATTGGGCTGTTTATGTCATCTTTCTGCCCCTGGGTTTCTTCATCCTTAAAATGATGTAACGTGGAGTAGATAAGCTCTACAGATCCCATCACCTCCAAAATTTCATGACATTCTCTATTGGGCAAGATCTCAGAGTCATTTTGTGTCAGACACTCTCTGAACAAGTGGGAAAAGGCAACCACTTCTAGGCTGGAAGCCACTGAATTTTTGACAAGACCTGCCAGGTTCTTAATGATCAAATACGACTCGTAGAAGTCAATTAAAAATGGCCACATAATCGTAGATTTGGAAAAGACCTCAGATATCCTTTGGCTCAATCCCTCCTCCCACTTCAATGAAGGAATGGCTTCTACAAAATTCTTGAGATAAGCTCTTTGAATATCTCCAGGGACTGAGAAATCACTGTCTGGGGACATTTGATTTTTGGGTAGAAAGTTCCTTTGGGTATCATGCCAGAAATGGCAACCCTGTAACTGCAACTCATCAGCCCTAGCTCTTTCCTCTAGGGAAACACGGAAGCAATCTCTCACTACTGGGGCAAAAGGATTCAGGGGTTAACAGTCTGCTGAGCTCTCCTCAGGCCCAGCTGCTGATATGATGCAATAGCTGTTAATATCCAGGATAGTGATGCGCACTTAAAAAAAATTCTGCTAAAAATGGCAAAACACTTCCAGGACTCTGGGCCTTAGGAGAGCAAGAAATCTTGAGGCAAGAGACTTCTGCATATGTTTTGCAAGGTGTAGAATATAAATGGCCCTGTCCTGAAGAATTAATCCCCAATGTCACAATCATGGAAACACAATTGGGAAAGGACTTGGGAAAATACTTTGCAAGAGAATGTTGGCAACGGACAAGCCTCGTGCAAAGTGAGTGAGCTGAACTTTTATAATCCAGAGGGGTTGTTGACGATCACGGAGGTGGAATTTCCTCTGGGGTGACGTAGCTTAGATTGAAATGGAGCCAAGGGCTTTGGCATGCCGTATTATTGAACTGAACCAGACATTTTCAGGATGTGGAAGTGTACCTTTTCACATTCTACTGTACCTTAGTTAAAAGATTTAGGAATTTTAGTAGCTTAAGCAATCCTGTTGTGCCAAATATATCTAAACCATGCTAGGATCAAAATGCTAGAGACCCATGCTTGATTATGGGTCCTGTATTTGCTGAGGAACACAAGCTTTTCCAGGCACTTCTAGGTCATCCATAAAGTTCTAATATTTTCAAGGGTGTTGATGGCCAAACTCAAGTCCAGCAGAAAATAGGCTCTCTCCGTATATGGCTTAAATAATGGATTCCACCATAGAAAATGGTATCTTTATTTTCTCCCCTTTTATTTGTGCAAAACTGTCATTGGGTAGCTATTTAAAAAACCACATAGAGTTCAACACAAATGATTAATGATCATCCTTCATCAAATGTCACCCATTTTTGTAACGAGAAAATATCCATGTGCTTAAAGTTAGCTAATTAATTAGCTGATACAACCAAAATAAATTAAAGGCTCTGCAGACAATGGAGGTGCTGAGCAGTTAGAATTAACAAGTCTGAGACTAAATTAATTTATCTTTGTGTACCCAGGGCAAGCAGGTACTCAGTAAATGTTTGTGGAATTGATTTGAATTCAGCCTTTTGAGAGATATTGAACCAGCAAAGAATTTTCCCCCTAAATTAACTATTTTCTAAAACATATAAGCATGTTCCTTCTTTCCTTCCAAATCCTTGGATGCATCCCATTTACTCGTGTTAGGGGACCATCACATGTTCTTAAAAAGCATTCTCCCACTTCATTTTTAAAACTATTGCACAAATTTTTGCCGTGGAGATAATGCCTAGGAAATAGAAGTTCTGACTTGAGTCCTACTAGGAATGTTTGGCCGGGCTTTTTTTTAAACAGTAAAAGATATATCATAGAGAATTTAACAAATTCAGCAGTGAAAACTTGAGCACAATACATTCTTCAATAAACAAGCTTATGACAGGAGCAAAATAAATATGTGGCAGGGATTTTTTCAAAGCCTCAAGTCTTTTAGGATAGTAGGAAATTCCTACTTCTTGTATAAACTTCTAAATCCACCAGATCTCCTGTGGAATAGCGGGCAGATTTGAAGGCCTTGGTACAAGGGTTCCTTTTAGCAGAGGAGGAGGTGAACAGGTCACTCTGGCCTCTTCAAGGCACATCCTTTCCTGCGCCCCAAGTTGCTTGGCTCTCTCACGCGAATGTAGACAGAGAATCTTTTTTCTTAGAGAGGGGTTAGTTCTGATCACGGAGCCAGACTAGCGTCGTTGATAAAGCATTCATCATCTACCGACAAATATTGTTCTAGGAGTTGGTTGAGGGAACATTCTCTTTTCAAGCTGGTTTTGCAGTTACTGAGAAACCTTTCCTTTCTCCTCTAAGTAAAGGGTAATTCCCCCATCTGAGATGCCCTTTCCCCCAGGCGATCTGTTGTCCGCTGTTGTTCTTTCAGGGCTCACTCAGGCTTCACTTCCTCTATGAAGGCTCTTCTGAACCAGGTGGAGGTGACCACACCCTTCTCCGTGCTCCCACTGAGCTCTGTGCTGACTGTTTTGAGAAGCTGAAGGCCTTAGAGCCTTAACCTCCCAACGGAGAAACCAGAAATTAATTTTTGTTTAATTATAGCTCAACAAATATTGATCAAATACTGCTACACCAATCCTTGTGCTCAGGATCCCCATCACGCAACTCTGTGCCTCTATATTCTCCTGGCATCAAGAGTAAGAGTGGTTTTGGTGCCAAGTTTGCTTTTAGACCCATTTGTAAGGTCTCCTACAAAAGGGAGCATTTATAATAGAGGCCAAGGTGCTGGAGGTCACTCTCCATGTCATACTGACATGCTCTTAGATGTCGTAGAATGCTCAAAGTTAGCACGTTTCATCCCCATGAGCTCATTTGATCCTGGGAATCAAATTGGTGGATTCCTGCATTAAGACAAATCAACATAGGCTAAGCGAGCAGAAATGCCCCTCTTATCCTTGACATATTAGTGCAGGAAAATCACAGAGATTAGAGGACGTGAACTCCTTGAAGTGCAGGAGGGACCTCCTCAATGTCCAGCCTCTCCTCCAGGGAAGAAGCCTTGGCTGGGCTGATTAGCTAATCCCATATTTAAATCCTTTTGAATATTTTAGGAGAAAAATACCCATATAACACTCTTCATATAAAGTTGTGAATCAAACCTCAGAGCAGATCTAGATTAACTTCTCCGGATTTGGTGAATGACTTTTTTTCTCCCCATAGAATAAGTCCACTGTCTCCCGGCATCAATCAAGTTTGTTCTATAGTTGCTCTAGTTAGCTAGAAATCTGTCTTCAATTTTCTTGAGTGACCTAATCTGCTGGATATCTTTCAGAGTCAGGAGAGCTCCAGAAATCTTATGTAACGGTGTCAGATCATGTATATTTTTAGAACTTGGCGTTAGTCCTTGGAGTAGGTTGAGTGATATTTGACCAGGAACCATCTAGCGGTATTCATACAAGTTTTGAGTAGAGTCTTTCTTTTTCCTCATAGTGTCTTCCGGGTTAAGGTAGTTCCCAGAGCATGCAAGGTACGCAAGAAAACTGTGCTGAATAAATGGTATTGTTGTATTTTTGATATGCATGTGGAACTCATACTTGCTTGTTTTGATGCCCATGTACCTGATAAAGGGAAAGGTAGCCTTTCTCATTTGCCATAGATGGCATGAAAACCAATTTCTTTTTTTTGAGAGCATTCATGAGAAATAACAGCTCTCTTTTCATTTTTTTAGGCAAGGCATTAAAGTACGTGTTTGGGGAAACTGATTAAGGATTTCGCCTCTGAAGGGTTTACACTGTTTTCTAGGGTTTTGGATTTTGTTCAAGGCTCCTGAACTGAAGAAAATGCTTCGTAATCAAATTGCATGGTAACTTGGCCCACTGGTGACAAACGTGTAATAAGAAGGTGTGGAAATGTTCTGAGTAGATCATCCATTCATTTGGTGATCAGTGTTCTAATGTTTAGAAACTCACCACTCTTCTAAGCAACCATGATAATACATCTGCTCTCTTCTGCCTTTTTCCAATTAATATTCTCATCAGTAAGGCATATAGGGTGTGAACTTATGGGCCCTACATTTCATAGCTAAACCACTGTCTCTGTGGAATGCTCCAAGAAAACCTCTTGTTATAATTACACATGAATGAAGAAAATTAGGAAATAGGAGCCAGAGGAGTTTCACACAATGACGTCCACTCTGCCTCTATAGCAAGAAGGCTCCAAAAAAGGTTTTATCTTCTTTAGTGTAATCTACCAAAGAGATGTCACTGACATTCACCATCAGCTTGTCCCCTTCTTGCAAGGAGAACATGGCCCCTAGGTAGATGGGTTGGAACCAGTTGCTGCCTATTTCACACACTGACTTGGTTCCCATTAGGAGCTGAGTTGGCTCAGGGTAACTGTCCGTTACCTTGGTGATGACCACAATGATGGAGTCTGGCTTGTTCAGTCGGCTTCCTTGGCCGATTTCGCCACACTCGGATGTGGTGCCCCGGAATGTGACCTGGGAGTAAACAAAGTAATCTCCCGACTCTGGGATCACCAGGAATTTGTTGGTGTAGTTCATCCGGTTCTTGGTGAAGGCCAAGCCAAGTTCATGTTCCCAATGCAGAGCTGGGAACTGATTTTTCAGCGGCTGTGTGGGAGTTTGTCTCACAACTGTAAAGACAAGAGCAAGATTTAATTTGCTTGTGTCAGAACCTGTGAACTTTGCTAAAGAGTCTCATATCATTTTCAAAGATTGAAAATGATTCAATAAAACCAAGAGCTACCAAGCTCCTTGAGGAGGAACATTGTTTAACTATAACTCTATAACTATAATAAGTAATTAAATATAATATATTGTTTAATTATAAAAATATATATATATATGTATTTTTTTGGTGAGGAAGATTGTCTCTTAGCTAACATCTGTGCCAATCTTCCTTTATTTGTGTGGGTCACTGCCACAGCATGGCTTGATGAGCCATGTGTAGGTCTGCGCTTGGGATCCGAACCCACAAACCCCAGGCCACTGAAACGGAGCACATGAACATAACCACTATGCCACCAGACAGGCCCCAGAGCCTGAGTTTTCTGATATGACAATTTTTAATTTTACCTGAGGCCTGTGATCCTGGAAAAGAGTGAAGGTTAAGAAATCTCCTCACTATTTTGTGTTTTGGAAAACAGCTTATTGCAAAGTACCACTCTTCCCCAAATGACATGAATAAGACTGATGGATGCCCCCTTGTTAACCTATGACGAGGCCAGACACCAGACCCTCGAAATACCCAGTCTTTGCCTCATAAGTGATTAGCTGAACTGTTTTATCGCCACTGATCCATCGGAACAAATGCTTGTTAATCAACTATGTGAGTTCCTTCTCCTCCCTGAGTCTCAATTTCCTGTCTGTGAACTGGAGGTAAAGCTTCCTCATAGTCTTGTTCTGATGATCAAGTGAATGAAAGAGACATGAATATTTTTATCACAATGGCTGGATACAACAGTACTCAATATGTACTTATTTTCTTTCTCCAAATAAACTAGCATCGTTCATTTTGACAGATTAAAAAATAAGCCTATTTTATTTTATATAGTTTAATATGTTCTTATGGGTGCATTATCTATAAATACTCATTATATAGAACAGATGAATGAATACTTTTATGAAGCATCTATAGCAGAAGAAATGAATAGAATCAAACCATTGATTTCAACGAAGATAGTCTGTGATAAAACCAATACTTTTCAGGAAAAATATAAACAGATTTTAATTTCCTACAACTGCTTTTGAAATTCATAGCAATGACTGTTATGTACTGTCAGCCACAGTTTCGGGATAAAGAAGCATTTAGCAACCTTCACACTTGGTGGTTAACCAGAAACCTGGTTCCTGGATTTTTCTAAAGCATCTTTCCCACTACTGACTGGGCTATGGTTTATTTTGCAAGTATGACACACGTTCAGAACGTGTGTGGTCTCTGCTGGCCCCTGCGCTAAGTGGTCCCTGGAGAGCTCTGTTGCTTCTTTGCAAAATCTGTGAAACACATTTTTATTAGTCACCTCTGATAGTCTCTACTCCTTCTTTGTGGATAATGCAGCAGATTTGGAAAAAAAAAATTCCTCTCAGCTGATGCAAAAGCAAAAATTATTTAGTCTGTAGACAAAGGAAGTTTTGTTAAATTGATATGCAATTAGCTATGTCAACACAGCAGCAAGTGGGAGTTTGGGTAGGAAGTATGTTGTAAAGGAAACAGTGCAGTTCTGAGAGTCAAGCTTAAATCTCAGCTCTTCCTAGTCATGTGACTTGGGACAAGTGAATTTAGTTGTCTGAGACTCAGTTTCCCCATTTCATTGGGTTGATATGCAGATTAAATGAGATCATGGATGTAAAATGCCTACCACATTGCCTGCTACATATTAGGAGCTCAGTAGAACCTAGATTCCCTTTCCAATTTCTATTCCCCCCATTCAATAGGAAGAGGGTTGGCATCTCCATACTCAGTTTTTAGGATTTTCCTGCCCAGCCTGTTCAATCCCTCTCTTTCTTATAGGCAAGTGGTAAATGATGGCAACTTGGCATCTCCCTGGTCCTAATCTTCACTCAGGACTCACCACAAACAGTTTCTTCTTGGTTAAACATTAAGACAAACCTCTTGGGTCACAAGGATAGCCCCTTATTGGTTGTGAATTTTCTTATAGGTCAGGAAAGTATGCTTCTTTTTAAGTCTAGTTTTCAGATGGGTTTTTAACACATCTTTCTGCACTGTCTTGCTCTTTTCTTTGGAGTCTTAGATGTGTATGCAACTCCAGGTATGAGACCCCAGGAATTTTGACACTAGACTTGGGAAGCTGGCCAATGGGTCATATTATGAGATTGCTCTTAATCTTTTCATATCAATGAAAATTCTTCAGAAATACCTACCTGAATGTAAACATCCAATAACTTCATTTTGAATAGGGCACAGATGGACTCATAAATTGGGAACTCTGGGGATCTTTCATCTTTGACTAGATTTAGAATTACACGAATCTCTGAGTTTGAGTAAAGCCGTTTCTAAATGACTGAGTATGTGAATGACAGAGAGAGACAGTAGAAAAAGAGAGAAGGCTAGTAGAATTTGAAAGAAAATGCCCAAGAGACATAGGCCTTTGGACCCCTCAAGTGAGGAAGATATCTGAAAACCCTCAATTGAGAGGAGGAGTCTGTTACCAAGGGGTGTGGTTTCCAGACTGAAGCTACTAGAACGAGTTGTGGCAAACACTCTGAAAGAAATGTCAGGTCCATGGCCCTTGGTCTCCTGAAAAACATGTCAGGGAGAATTACCTGTCAGGTGTGCTCTTGGCTTATCTCTAGCAGCTTCTGGAGGAAGGTCTGTAAGGAAGGGAGAAAAATGCTGAGTCAGAGGGTGACTGAAGTGAAGACGGCATTTTGGAAGTTGCACAGCGCCTGCAACAAGAGAGAAATATTTCTCTCCTCCCGCTTGATTCAGTTCCATTCTTTGCAGGTTTTTTGAGGGGGACAGGGGAACCTCAAAAGAAAGAGACTTGAACACAAATTAATCTTGGCCCCGTGGCTTTGGGCAAGTTATCTAACCTGTCTGAGACTCTGTTTTCTCATCTCTAAGATGGGCACATCAATTCCTACCGTGGATGGAGAGTGCTCAGAATGATTCCTGGCACATGGTCGGTGCTCAATAAAGCTCACCTTGCCTCTCTTTTCCTCCTACTGCTTCTGTGGGAGCTGATTGGCCTTTTGCCTCCTTCATGGTCCCTTTAACTACAGCCACTGAGGCATCTGGATGTCCTGACAGAACTGGATGGGAACCACTCTGTAGCTATATGATCTTGGCAGGTCCCTTTTCCTCTCTGGACCTCTGTTTCCCTGTCGGTTCTCCAGAAGACCTCAGAATTTCCTTTTGGTTCTCAGAGATGATTATAATGGGCAAATGTGTTCTAACTGCAGTGATAAAGATGATGCTGTCGATGATGATAAGGAAAAAATCATTGTGTACTTTTGATGTGTTAGGCATTGTTCTAATACCTTTATAGGAGTTAACTAATTCAATCCACACTAACCCTGGGAGGTAGGTACCATTATAATCATTTTGATAGGTGAGTAAACTGGGACAGACAGGTGAAATCATTTGCCCAAAGGCCATCAACTCCACAGGCCATGCACTTGGCCATGCCACTATTTTGCCTTCTTAGTGACTGGGGAGGACCCTCACTTCTCCTCTGGGTTTACATGCTTTTGAACCTCCTACATACCAGAACTACTAGATATGTTCTTGTTCCCCACAAGAGAAGGCATCAAATATGAACACACTTACAAGCTCGCTGATGTGCAGATCCAAACTCCTGTCCTTTTGGTGTCTATTGGGAAAGAAAGATACGGTTCAGACTATTTGCGGTCCTATTGACCCCAATACCCACACAGCTGCCCATAGCATGGGCATGATTAAGATGCTGCTGCTACACTGCCTGGTTACTCTGAGAGTGAAAGAAACCAGAATGAAATATTTTGGGGATGGGAATCTTGCACCCAAGCTTTCCCTTTTCCTCCTCCAGTCCCCCCAAAGACCTTTCTCTCTCTTATGCTTGTCTCTGAAGCTCATCTTTAAAGTTCTCTCCTGAGCTCTTCTTGTTCTATTTTAGAGCACTCTGACATCTTGTCTTGCTTCTATTTGAACAAATAATGACACTTGCTTTATTTTCTTTTCCTCACCACAATTTAAAAATTGGAGCTATTTTAAGAAAGTGATTCAGAGAAAGAAATAATGGCTACGTTCTCCTTCTCATCAGCCTCAACAATTGTTCCGTTTCCTTGTAAGACTTGAAGACTTTTTCATCATTGCCATCCCAGTTTGTGAGCCATTTCAGATATCACATGGTAGTGGAAGAGTAATTGCTTTGGAGGCAGACAGACCCGAATTTGAATCCTAGTTCCACCATTTATTAACATTATGATCTTGAGCAAGATGCTTTTCTTCTCTGAGCTTTGGTGTCATTTGTAAAAGGGGAGTGATAACATCTGTAGTCCTAGATAACGCCCAGCTTTGAGATAAGGATCAACTCAGAAAATGTATGAGTCAGTGCAAAGAATGCATGGAAATGAAGGAACTACCATTCACGTGCCTGAATATCAATCTCAGGAGCGAAACTAAACTCTTAGCTTAGGAATAAAATCACCATCTTACAGTTTACCAAGTTTCCAAAAACCCTTCTCAGATGTGATTTTGACTCAACCCAGGGTCTTCTGATTTGGTTCTCGTAACTACACGGTCCCCCATGAACAATGAGCCTCATGTCACCACGGACACTTGATCAGTTTTACATCTTAAAACCCGCATGTGTGTGCGTGAGTGTCCTTGTGAATGAGGAATTGTGTGTCTGTGTGAGTATGAGAGAAGACAGCTCCATCAGTGGGAAAGAGCGTGAAGTGATGTGTCTTTGCATCTGTGTATCTACATATGTCTGTGGTGTGGTGTTGTGTGCGCGGGTGTCTCTACACACGTATGTGTGGTCATGTGGACGTAGCTGTGCCATTTTTGAGTCTAGGTCTGTAGCAGTTCTGTGATAACTGTGAGCTTGTTAGAGCCCAGACCGTCAGGCTCTTTTTACTCCCAAGCCGAGCAACCTAACCTCTACTGATTTGGTTCTCGTAGCCCTCTTGAGGGCAGAGATCTTGTCTTTGAATGACTGACTGACTTCATTGTCTCTCCAGCTCCCTTTTCTCTGCTTCCTAATTCTGTTAATGGCACCACTACAGCTTCCCCTCAGTTACCAGGCCTGAAATTTCCTTCTTTCTTCTTCCACAAACCAAGTTGTCATTTCTATTTTGCAGTTTTTTCTCTTTCACGCCTCCACTCTCAGCCTCAGCGTGCTGCTTTCCTGGATTCTTCCAACAACTCCCTAACAGGTCTTCCTGCCTCTGGTTTCTTTTCTTCTCCAATCCATCTCCTAGCCTGTCTTCAGTGGGCTTTTTCTAAAGCATCACTTTATTGAGACATAACTCTGCTCATAAAACCTTCCATGGCTCCCCATGGCTTTCAAAACAGTCCCAAATACTTGACATTCAAAGACCCTATTTACCACCCTAAACTTGTTATCCACTATTTACTCCTCTCCAAGTCCTCTGTGCTTCAGCATAAGAGGCAACCACAGCGAACGATTCAAGGCACCTGAAAAACGCAGTAAGTGTAGCTACTGTTTATTGAATGAGAAGTGACACTGTGCTATGTTAAGCCTCATCTCCTTCAGTATCATGTCCTTCGGCTTTGCAAGGACCATCTAAAGTGGAGGATATTCACATCCTCACGTAGAAAATGGGGCTCATGGAGGTGAAGTAACTCGCCCAATGTCCTATACCTGGAAAGTGGAGGAGTAGGGTTTTAACCAAGGCCAATTGACTCCAGAAGACCAAGCCCTAGGCCATTGCAACTTACAACTTCTGGGCAAGCTCCTCATCTGGTGAGGTGGATGGATAAGTATCAGCAATTTCATGCACTATGACAGTGGGAAAACACAGAGTTCAGAAAACAGGAACTTGGCCCAGAAGAGGGGGAATCAGGGGAAATTACCCCTGAACTGAGTCTTACAGGTCTCACAGGTATTAGCCAGGTGATAAAAGGTAATGACCATTCCCGACAAGGCCACAAGCTTATGCAAGAGTGAGGAGGCTCAACAGAGCATGCTAGCAGTTGGGAAACTGAAAGGATTTCTGCTGCCGAATGAATACATTATATATATTTAGAAGTAGGGTCATGTGTACAAACCTAAACCCAATTGATGTGACTACTTGTCCAGCATTAATGACTTTGATGGGATGGGGAGGGTGCAGAAGCAGCCTAGAAACGAGCCTATTTTGTAGCCTGTTTCCTTACTTGCTGTTGACAGAGCTGATAAAGAATTGGTCTTTTGGCAAGCCAGAAAACTGAAGATGGGGTTCTCAAGAGAATTGGGGAGAGCGTGGTTGCATCCCCTTCCATAGGAAATGGTACTTGCTCTGGTTGGCCTTCTGCTTCATTTAGTTGTCTGCTGAGAAATCTTGAACATCCTGCTTATTTTTATATTTGGGGTGGGAGCATGCTTCCCCGTTTGCTCTGCTGGATTTCTATAACTTGAGCCACATCTTATTTTCATATATGGATGGACATGTATGGCTTTTAGTGGCCCAGAATGCCACCGAACATCTGGAGGCTGTGATAGTGCCAGTTGGCAGGTGCTGAAGACCACAACATTCCAAGAGTCCCCAAGAAGAACGTCAGCTGGGACTCTCTTTCCACGAACAGCGTCTAAAGCCTTCCGTTGCTGCTTCTCTTAATAATGACTCTGTCTATCGTGGGAGGAAGATAACTGTGGTGGGAAACAGGAATGAATGAAGAGGAGATTTGAGAGGAAGAAAGAGTGGCTTATTTGGGGAAAAGTTTATTTATTTGAGCTGGATCAATGCCTGCTCTCAAGTTAGTTGCTGACAACACCAGGTCAATAAAATCTCTTTCTGCCCTCCACCCTGACTCATTTCCATTGCTTCTGGGTTACTCTGGGGCACCAAGGAGACGGTGACTCCTGAGGGATGCTGGTCACTGCAACATTAACTTCCAAATCTGAATACACATGGAGTCCAACAACACCCTTCAATTCCCTCTCAAATCACTGGCTGAGAACAAGGATCCAATTTTATTTTCCCTCGTGAGCATTTATCACTCCCTGCAGTGATAGTACTTATTTATGTGTTTATTGCTTTTCTCTCTCTAGCAGAATTTAAGCTGCATGAAGGCAAGGACCTGGTTTGTATGTCTTTCTCACACTATATTCCTGGTGTCTCAGACAGTGCCCAGCACTTCTACTAGATTTCAGTTGGCAAGGTATGCTGTTGCTCAGGCATCAGAAAGACAGACAGAGGGACCGGCCTGGTGGCACAAGTGTTAAGCGCGCGCGCTCCACTGCGGCGGCCTGGGGTATGCCGGTTTGGATCCCGGGTGCGCACCGACGCACCGCTTGTCGAGCCATGCTGTGGTGGCGTCCCATATAAAGTGGAGGCAGATGAGCATGGATGTTAGCCCAGGGCCAGTTTTCCTCAGCAGAAAAGAGGAGGATTGGCAGATGTTAGTTCAGGGCCGATCTTCCTCACAAAAAAAAAAAAGAAAGAAAAACAGGCAGAAAAGAAAAAGAGAGCAGAAGATAGAGTAAGGCCCAGCCTCAGCGACTTGAGTCAGAGTTTTATAATCCAAAAAACAGGGAAAGAGACCTTTTTATTTTAGAATACATGCAAAGTTTTGAGTTTTTGTTTAAATTTTAGAAGTTTTAATTTGTAGAGGTGGGTAGCCATAATCTTTTAGTACTGGGACCTCTAAAGGTTTTCATCAGGCTCTGCTTAGATCATCTTCATGCTCTAAAAATGTTTGTGGAAAGTTGCAAGGGTTGGCCAGGAGTCAAAGCCAGAAAAGGCAAATGTGTACACCATGGACATACGTGTTAGTGGACAGTAGGATGCTCTCTATCATCAGCATTTATTAGCCCAAGCAAAACAAGCTACTGCTTTTCTCCTTAGTTCCTACAGGTAGGGGAATTTTCACTCTCATTTAATTTTCTTTTTTTTTCCCTTCTCACTTATTTTTTGCGTGTTGATTGGCAATCCTTAACTCAAACTAACTATAACCTATTACTATAGGCATTTTTGGAATCACTCTAATTCTTCAAATAGGGAAGAAGGCAGGATGAAGGGAAGGAGGAGCGCTCGCTGGGCGTCAGCTCTTGTAATGACATTTATGTGCGTTCCTCATTTAATACTCCAGCAACCCTCAAAGGAGAGTACCGCCTTTTTATGGCCTTTGTAAGCCACAGATCAAAGAGTAAACAGAGGCCCTGGGATCTGAACCTTTAGCCCAAGTACAGACTCTGGCATACATCAGGAGCCCCATAAACACAAGCTGAGTACACACAAAGACGATCGAATCTGAAGCGAGATGATCTTTGCGATTCTCTCATTGACATTTCCCCAGGAAAATCCCTTGAGTGTGTTTTAACTAATGACCCATTTAGCCTTTCTTCCATATTCCGTAGCCACTCTCTAGTATATTCATAAACAAGAAGAGATATCCATTTCTTGCCAGCATAAATGCTGCAATTGCAAAGGCATAAATGTTTTATGACCCATAACATCCTTCCAGCGCTTCTAGGAGAAATACGCAGACATTTGCCTTCTTATCTTTTCCCCTTGCTTCTCTCTGTTTGTACTGGCACAGGATAAATCCAACGTGGAAATGTTTTATTCTGAGCCTGTTTTGTTTCATCATCCTCCAAGGTGCATGGGACGGGGCTTTACATGCAACATTCAGAGTGCTGCAAAGAATGTGGTGTTTGCAGCCGAG